AAGTTGGTGGTTGCTACCACTCTCAGTTCTCTGTCCCAGCCTGGGCCTGGCCCCAATTTTGGGAATCAGGGCCTGCCAGCCACTGGTTGCAGTCAGCGGGGCAATCGGCAGAGCAAGTAGGTCCCCACTCACATCCGCCTTGGCCTGGCACTGCCTGCTCACCTGCTCCACCATCCCACCACGGTCCTGCTCTCATACTGGCCCATCTGGGCCGGCAGCACCTCCACTGCTGCCCACTGCCAGCACTGTGTCACTGACGCCCGCCATGTTCCACGCTACCCCCTGGTGGTCAGCGCACATCATAGCGAGACATCAAACTCCCGGTTTCCAGGTCGAACAACCGTCTGAGGGGATAATTTGCCTATTAGGCTTTTATCATATAGGATTTTATCCTCCCTATACCCTCCTTCACCTTCCCCCACCCCCTCCCTGGCAATCATCACACAGTTGTCCATGTCCATGAGGGTTCTTTTTCTGTTTTTAATTTTATCATGGTTTTTTATTTTACATTGGTTTGAATGAGGGTCTAATACCACACACACATTACCCTTCCTTGATATGCCTCTTAGGTCTTTTTTAATCCAAAGTTTCCCAACTCATCACTTTTAAATATATTTTTATAGGAAAACATATATGTACATAAGAGAAAACTTACCATTTTAACCATTTTAAATGTACAGTTCAGTAACATTAGGTATATTTACACTGTTGTGCAACCATCACTACTATCCATCTACAGAACTTTCTTCATCTTCCAAAACTAAAACTCTATATCCATTAACAATAATTCCACATTTCTCCCTTCCCCCAGCCCTTGACAACCACTATTCTTTCTGTTTCTATGAATTTGCCTATTCTCGGAATCTCATAGCAGTGAAATCATACAATACTTCTCCTTTCATGCCTGATTATTTCGCTTAGCATAATATATTTAAGGTTTATATATGTTGTAGCATGTGTCAGAATTTCATTCCTTTTTAAAACTAAATTATATTCATAATATATATATATGAATATATATATATATCTATATATATATATCTTATTTATTCACCTGTGGATGGACATTTTATATTCTGAAATCAACTCTGCTTATATTAATCTAGCCACCCCCATTTTCTTATGACTAATGTTTCCATACTATTTTTTTCATTCTTTTACTACTAACCCATTTGTGTCTTTATATTAAAGTGGGCTTCTCATAATGATTACAAAAGTGGTTAGAATTTTTACCCAATCCTTCAATCTCTCACTTTTACTTGGAGTACTTAAACAATGAATATTTATTGTAACTATAATGTGATTGATTTAAATCTAGTATTTTGCTATTTGCTTTCATATGTCATCTTTTCATTGTTGTTCCTTTTTACCCTATCTCTGCTTTAAAAAAATAATAATTAGCCTGGCTGGTTTGGCTCACTGGATAGAGCATCGGCCTGGGGACTGAAGGGTCCCAGCTTCGATTCCAGTCAAGGGCATGTACCTTGGTTGCAGGCACATTCCCAGTAGGGGGTGTGCAGGAAGCAGCTGATCGATGCTTCTCTCTCATCAATGTTTCTAACTCTCTATCCCTCTCCCTTCCTCTCTGTAAAAAAATCAATAAAATATATTTTAAAAATATAATTAACGCTATTTTACTATTTTATTTCCACTTTGGATGATTAATTATAAACCTTGACTTTATTTTTAGTATTTACTCTAAAGTTTATAATATGCATTATTAACTTACTACAATTTAGCATCAAGTACTACTATAGCAATTCATGTAAGAACTATGCAATGGTGTACTCTTGCTTCCCATCTCTAACCTTTCCACATAATGTCTCTCTGTCGTTACTTATGAGTCCCATCAGCCATTACCAGGGAAACAGCTCAAATCTAACTCAATATCTTACTTTGCTTATATTTGCATGTATTTTCACACAAGCTTTTACTTATAAACAGAGATGTACTCTGTGAAATGTTTAGAGGATCAATGAAAGATGTCCCTATCTAATGGGATTTTTGGAGAATGACGTAAAATAATGAAGAGCAGTGATATGAGTATATCTGTTGTTTGGCATCATTATTCTATTGAAGGTGGCAAGATGTAAGACGAGGAGATCAGTAAATGTTGCTGGAGTGATCCAGGAATTTATGGCTTCTTGCGTTACTGGAGTGGCAATGGAACCAAAGTGAGAACTGGAAGGATTCCTAAGATCCTTAGGAGGTAATCATTGAAACTTGTTGTTTATTGGGGCACTTGATATTTGTTAGTCATGTACTAAATGCTTTATATAAATTATATCATTTAATCATGACAACTCTGTAAAGTACTTAGAACTATTAGCCACATTTTATAGATGAGGCAGAGGGAACTTTATTTTTTTAATTTTTTATTCATATATATTTTTATTTCAGAGAGGAAGGGAGAGGGAGAGAGAGATAGAGACATCAATGATGAGAGAGAATTACTAATCGGCTGCCTCCTGCACGCCCTCGGTGGGATTGAGCCTGCAACTGGAGCATGTGTCCTGACCCGAATGGAACCGTGACCTCCTAGTTCATAGGTCAACAATCAACCATCTGAGCCACACCAGCCCAGTGAGGCACAGGGAACTTTAAATATCCAATCTTTAAATCCCAGGTTAAACAATAGGTAAGTAAATGCAATTAATTCAAACTCAGATCTGTTCAAAGCTATACTTCTCACTAACAATGTCAAAATCTTCAGCACCTGTAGCCCTCCAGCCATTTGAAAACCATAAGTCTAACCAATTGCATGAAAAGCTGTTTACAGAGGATTCAGGAGTTCCCCACCCCACCAACAAATCTTTGGCCTCTATCACAACTAACCATTCCTTAATAACTGTGATAACAATATTTCATTCTTTTTAAGACTTCTTCTCTCTTTTAAAGTATTTTCTGGAACCATTTACTAGTACATCAAACTGGTTAGTGGCAACTTTGCATTCATACTGAGCCACAGTCTTCCTAAAAACAAGTTTGTATTTTGCTTGTTTTAAATATATTTTTATTGATTTCAGAGAGGAAGGGAGAGGGAGAGAGAGAGAAACATCAATGATGAGAATCATTGATCTGCTGCCTCCTGTATGTCCCCCACTGGGGACCGAATCAGCAAACCTACACTTGTAAGCGCCAGGACCTGGAATCCTCCTGGTTCATCAAACCATGCCCTCCTGGTTCAAAGGTCTACCCTCAACCACTGAGCCACACCAGCTGGGCCTAAAAACAAATTTTAAGAACACATCCCTCTTACTGTTGCATCTGTTTGAAGCTAACAAATCAACAACAAATGCATTTAGATTAGTATCAAAATCCTTAGCAACAAAAAAATTAGTGTCTGAAAAGTGGCCAGTTTTGTTAGTGCTTCTAATTACCCACTGTGGCTGAATAAGGTCTAAGGATGGAGATGAAAAACTATTTGATTCTGAATGAGAGTGCTGAGGAAAGGTAGGATTTGTTTGAGTACATCATTGAAGGAAATAAAAGGGCTTGGTACAAGCTGGGATAGAGAGCACGTGATACTGAGGTTGAACTAGTAAATTTTTATGACTGACTTTGAGATCTAAAACATCGAAGGGCAAGGTACTGTGGAATTATGGCTTCAGTAGCTCACTTAATGAAAGTGTTTCACATATCTAAGAGTGCTTCAAAATGGTAGCCTATCCAGCTGCCCTGTACATTTTAAACTTCAAAAAATGTGTCTGCCTGGAGGGTTTATATTTATCTTATGACTCAGCAACAGAAACAGGTGGCTGGGTCTTTTTATCTTCCTATTTTGAATCTTTTTTCCAAATGTGCATATTTGGATTCTATTTCTGATTGTTGTTATATTCTGATTATTAAAAAATACAATAAATTTATAGAAAAGGATAAGAAATTATCAGAACAAAGGTGAAAAACAAAATCCTGATCATTGACTTTTTCAATTTACCCTACCTGCTCCAATTTAGTTTTGTCAATGTAAGAAATATTCAAACATGTAGAGAATTTTTGTGAGTTTATTTGAGCCAAACTGACAATTTCAAAGAAGCAAAATCTCAACAGATTTGAGAAAGTGCTCCAGAAAGTGGCAGTTTTGGATCTTATTTTATACATTACAATCAAAAGAGAAGACATAAATGGATTACATGAAATTCATTGGTGATAGATTAGGGAGGTGGGAGAAGGCAAAGGGGGGAAACCTCTGGGATGCTCCTATTACATAGGTGAGTACAGGTTAGTTAACAGTCAACAATTAACATGATTTGCAGTCTGCTCTGGTGCAATGCCTGTGCTTTGAGGGATGAGGGGTGGGGAAGTAAATTACTTTGTTATTGCAAAGGCAAGTTTATCAGGTATGTTATCCTAGATGCAAAAAGACAACAGACAGGCTTAGTTAAGATGAAGATTGACCTTTGTTAGGGAAAAATACTGTCTTAGGATGTGACTACCTACCATGAGCCACTTTTAGTTTAAAAGTTTTAATATCAGACCATCGTATGTGGTTACTTTAGGTCCCTGAGTTTGTAAGGCCACATGCAGGACTCTCCTGAACTTGTCAGGTTAGCACATGGCCCCTTTTTGTCCGTAGTTTCAAGAATTGAACTGCAAAGGAAATGGTGGCTATTACTGACTGGTGAATGGTAGGGTGGGGGGAAGACTGTTACCTTTCTGTTCCTGTGGCTTAGAAGAGAATGACTAATCCTCTCTGTCAACACAGCCACTAAAAATGTAACAATGGTTAATATGACTATGGGAAGATGCAGCCCTTCTCTGGTAATCAGAGAAAGACAAATTTTATCCACAGAAAGAAGGGGCCACTTTTGACTTCTGGCTTTAACAATGACAAAAATGAGTGACAGGGCCGGGTGTGGTGGGGGGGGTGGGAAGTTGATTAGCCATTCCACTTCTGCAGCACAGCTGGTGGGAGGGGAAAATGGGGACCAGAGTTGGAAGATGACATAATACTCATGTGACCAAGAGCTGACGTGAAGTTCCTATATTCTCAGGTTTCTTTCTCCTCTGGGTACCAGCTCCTTACTGCCCTGCAGGCATTGGTGCTTGTGGCCTAGAGAAGGAGGACGTGAATTCCTTAAATCCCAGCAGGTTGGTGTGAGGGAACCGTTGGTCCCCCTGGGGTGATAATGGCTGAACCTAATGGCTTTCCCCAAACCTCTGCAGTCTCATTGGAGATAATTGTATTTTTTGAAGGGGGTAGGAGGGGAGGCTGAAGTAGGTGGAAGTCTCCTGAAAGACACTCAGAGATTCAATGACAGTTTAGAAATAATCAGCTTCTCTCAGATTGGTAAGCTTTCTCTTTATCCATATCCTTCTCTCTCCAATTCTGTTGAAGGAAACGAGGTGTGGGCTGGTGTGTGGAGAACGGCTGGAATTCTGGGATGCAGACAGAGAAATTTAGAGATAGATATAAAATAATTCGTCTCATTCAACGCCAGCCTGAGAGGGTGGAGAGGGAGGGAACAGTGGGCCTTGCAAGGACTAGGCCCAAGGGTTAGGGGGTTGGGAGTGGAGACAGAGATCCAGGAGGAAGGGATAGGGACCGGAGGGGAGCCAGGAGGTAGGAAATGTTAGGCAACGATGGTTATGAGGGTCCTGGATTCCAAATAATAACTGTTGGGGCTGGTGAATCCCCCAGAGAACTCTCCTTTCCCCTCCCCCTTCCTTTCTGTCTGCAGGTCCCAGGATCTGGGTTCACAGACATCTCCAGGCAAGAAAAAGAGGAAGAAACTATCCCTATTTCTCACAGGTCAGAGAGAGGGAAATACTAGACCTGGGTCTCTGCGGGTGAGTGTTGGGAAGGTAGAGAGCTGTTAAAACTTGCAGGCTCACAGCTCACTCTTGGTCTGCCATTAACCTTGTCTGCTGGATAAATGGTGGGTTGCTGAGGGAGGGGAAAGAAGAGAAGGGGGGAGGTTTGGGAAGGGGCGGAATCTCAAACTTCTGAGGGCTGGACCTTTTTGGCAGAGGTGGGGAATTAGGTGAGCATCTTGCTTCAAAGAGAAATTGACAAGCAATTTTACTCTACATTTTCTCCCTAGACTTAAGCAGGAAACAACTACATCATGCAAAAACCCTGCAAAGAAAATGAAGGGAAAGCCAAGAGCCCCATGCCAAAGAGAGAAGAATGCCCCTATGGAGAATGTGAACGCCAGCAATCTGAAGGGAATTTTAGGCAAAGACTGCTTCAGTCTCTTGAGGAATTTAAAGAGGACATAGATTACAAGCATTTTAATAATGAAGAAATGACAAGAGAGGGAGATGAGATGGAAAGGTGTTTGGAAGAGATAAGGGGTCTGAGAAAGGAGTTTAGGGCTCTGCATTCTAACCATCGGCATCCCTGAGACTGTCCTTATCACATTTGATGCATTTCCCCCCTGAATTCAGTTATTTTCTGTTATTAATATAGCTACCACTGGGTTCTTTTGGTGTGGATTTTCTTGCTAAATATTTGCTATCATTTTACTCCAATTCTTCAATATTCCTTTGATTTACATATGACTCTTGTTACCAACATCTCATCTTTTGACCCAGTCTCATTCATTTAATAGGATGTTTCATTCGTTTGCATGAGAAGATGCTCATTGAATATTGTAAAGTGGAAAAAAATACATTGTAAAACATTATATACACACACACATATATATGCACACATATAATGACCATTTATATGCACTATAGTGCAAAAAGTCTGAATTATTATACACCAAAACATTAATAGTGACTCTCTGTGTGATCTGTACTTTATTTCTTTTTTTAAACCTATCTGTATCTTCTCATTTTCCAAAAAAAATGAATATATATGTGTGTGTATTATTTGTGTAACAAAAAGCTAAAAATAAACAGACACAGCTAAAGATCTTGTAAATGGCATTTGAAAAGCAGTGAAAGACTTAATAAACTCTTATAACAGAGCTAGGAATATAAACCTCAAATCACCTCTGGATCTCTTAGCCAGAGGAATAAAACTGGCAATTA